TGCCCGAAGATGTCTTTGACGTATCAAAAACACCTTGTCTGCATGCTATTTTTTTTTTCAGTTTATTGATGTAACACAATTCAGACCAAGATTTTTTTAACGATTTTTCCTTTTCGAAATTTTAATCTGACATTGCACTTCAAATTAGCTGTTATATTAGCATGAAAAGTTATGCGTTCATTTCAAGTATACTAGCAGGTGCCAAAATGAGGGATTGTAACCAATTTGATACTATTCGCTATATTTTTTTGCCTCTCCTTTTACTTTTAGCAGGTTTGAGAAGACTTGATCGACCTAACAAGGTTTAAGAAATGATGTAACATTTTGAAGTAAATTTTGAGTTTTAAATATACCGAGAATGCGAAAATACTCTTAAAAGCTAAGTGACTCCTTCATGTCATGAATCATTATGCAGGCTTCCTTTTTCGTTGTTGCATAAATATTTTTTCCTGATGCTTACGTACTATATTTATAAAGAGCAATTTGAATATAACCAGAATCTACTAACCTTACCTGGAATTCTCAGAAGGCTTTATGTTATTAGAAGCACCTTGTGCCTTGCGAATGAGCACAACTCTGTTACAATTAGCTATTCAATCAAACGTCTTTTCACGATAATGGTCGGTAAGCGCATGTTTTGTAAAAAAAGGGGTGATTATACACGATAAAAGGCATGGAAAACAATGGAACATAAAGAAAACAGATCTCTATGGTTACTAAAATTTCAAGATAATTCGTCCTACACCAACAACCTTAAATAAAATTCAGGACGATGAGGCAAAAAAAAAAAAACACAGTTTTTTACTCAAATAATTTGGCTGTCTGTAGCTTTAAATAGTAAATTCACTTTCGCTACTTTATGCAATTAATCGTTTATGACGCGTTTAATACAAGTCACAGTAGTGCCTTTGTTTTTGTAGCTCGCCTGATTCGCTGAAGGAGAACTTTGTGAGTGTGTAAGCTGGCTAAGTAATTAAACCATGGGGTCATGAATAATTAAAAACCCTGAAAAAGTCACGAATATAAAACCACAACAAAAACAACGTATAGAGGTACGAGTAGAAGCGCTTTTTAAAGGCTTATTGTTATGTTTTGAGCTTTATTTTAAGTTTTATCGTAAGGCACGAAGATTTGCTCTAAGAAACGCAAACCTTTAAACAGTTTCACGATACAATCACCTGTTCGAGATAAAACAGCTGAGCAACGTTCTTAGCCAATCACAGCATAGTACTGACGAGGCTTGCATGACATTTCCCGCCAAACGCGCGCCCTCTGAGTTCAGTTGACAATTCAGCTGTTCCACCCTATTTCAACACTAAGTGGTTTCTTACAATTTCCTTTGGTTGAGCGTTAAAGCAAGGATAGAAATAATCAGTGTCATTGTGCAATTTAATGCGTCCTTTGTCCTATCACAGAGCCCTTGTTTATTTTTGTTGTTGTTTCAATTTTTAACACAACACACATACAAGAGCAGCCAAAAATTAATACTTTTCGATTTTCCATGGGCCTAATTGCGCTGTTATAGTAATTTTTCCGACTACTTTAAAATTTTTCAGGGTCTAAATGACAACGCCTTCTAAAATTAACCGGTGCAGCGTAAGGATATTAATTAAACTGAAAAGAGTCACTAAACTAGCCACAAGCACTTCGGTTGAAACGTTAATATCAGAGGCCATATTGAATACTCACAGTTAAATTAAACGTTATTAGTAGTAAAATTAATGTACGTAATTTATTGACACGGGAAACTTATTTTGTTAATTTTTTTCTTTAAGAAACAAGGTAAGATGAGTATCAAGGACATTCGACATAAGAGAATGCAAACGGCTATCGTCGAAGCATGAAGATTAGAAAAAGGTTTAGAGTGATTTTACTTAACCCGTGAAATAGGTTTTGGAATACTACGCGCTGTTATGCACTAATTCCATTGTCTTCTTCTGTTTACCTGTGGCTATTTTGCACTAGTAGTTATCATCTGTTTCACGGGTCAAGCAAATCACTCTAATATCGGCGTAATAGGGAGATTACCATAGGTCTCTAAATATATGTGTCAAGATAATTGAAAGATAGTTCTGTACGTGAGCGCGGCTTTGGAGAAGCAGAAGACCGTAAGGGCCGTATATAATTGCCTTTTACTTAGGAAAATTTAAGACCGGGAAGTAGTCTGGCGTTACGAAGCGCTCTAGACTTTCAAAAACGTCCCTCGTCGGATTTCATATGGCCTCTCGCGACTTCGTCGCTCGCGGTCGGCCGCTTCGCGGCCAAACAAGGCTCACTCCGCTCGCCAAGAGGTCGACTTGTAGCAAGTCTAGAAGCGTTCTTGTCATTGAAAGTTCTCCAAAATGAAATGTTCCTCATTATAAGCATTGGTGAAACTCCTAAACTCTATTGTTTTTGTTTGTTTGTTTGTTTTTCTTTTTGCTTTTTTGTTTGGTTTAGCAATTTTTTTTCTTATAGTCCGAGTTAGGTATTTGACCAAATTCGACCAAATTGGTAGCAGCAACGGAACATCTGAAAGGAAGTCCTGTTTTTCCGGAAGGAATATTCCAAACGGAAATTCTTGTTCGTCTTGTTCACTTTGATACGAATTTCAGCCCTTCGCGGTTGTTTTCCGGCAAATGTAACTGTTCTCCCCTGTACTAATGGTAAATGCGATTCCGACTCGAAATTTACCAGTTTTGAATATATTTTGCGTACCACTTTCCTAAACCGTAAACAACCATCATATTTTCTGACCCTGATATATTTCGTTTCACATGCAGTGTAATTATAAAGCCTTGTTCGAAACCAACATCATGGAATTGTTGGTGCTACAAAATGTAGACAGCTAGGTCGTCGCCAACCTTCATTCTCTTCGAAATAAATAGTGAAATTGTAGACTCAAGACCCTAAAAACCATACCCGTTTAGCAGTACACACTTTCCCGTTTAGGCCAAATAAGCAAGTGTTCCCCCCTCCCCCCGGGGGCAGCGAGGAAGGAAGCCTTCGCCGACTCTCGATAACTCAAACCCTCCGCTAACTCGAACCAAAATCGATTTCCCCTGGATTTCCTTCATACATTTACAGTAATCAGTTGTACCCTCGGTAACTCGAACCCTCGATATAACTAAAACCTCCGGCCGCTGAGATGCCTTGTTTTTTTCCCTTTAGATCTTTTCCGTATACCCTCGATAACTCGAACCTTTTTTTAAGCGTTGTGACAAGTGCACTGCAATTGAAATTATTCCAACTGCTCAACCGTATATTCTTTGTCTTCACTTTTTTGTCAGTCCAGTTCAAACACAGTGTCCAGCTATGTCATATCAATCTCTTTTTTTTTGCCAGCCACCGAAAAAGGTCGTGCCTTGTGTCCGCATAACTTTTATTTCGTTTACCGGTCACTTTGACCGAAAAAATCAAACAACCAAACACACAAACAAGCAAGCAAACTATAAAAACCAAACAAACAAAACAAAACAAAAACAAAAAAAAGAAAAAAAGCATCAATTCCTATTTAGAATAGTATATAAGCTCTATTCAACCTTTGCCATGTTACGTCACCCTAGCTCCTAGCCTCTTTTAGGGACTGAAACCATTAGACAGTTTAAGCTTCACGTATACGGCAAACGGCAAACGTCAGATTCAAATTGAGAAGTTCCCAAAATAGAAAATGAGCTGATAAAAGAGCTCAAAACAATTCTTATGGGTAAAGACATTGCGTGAAACTACTAATTTTTCGTGTAAAAATAAAGAACAATAGGGGAAACTTGGTCACGTGGTCCAAATTCGCCTTTCCCTTTTGATTAACTCATCCGTTTACCCTATTCAGACCGTGGGGCTTTTGGAGCCCCCACCTCTCGCTAAAAAGTTAAAAAAAACTTAAAAACCGTGTAAGCTTTTCGCCACTTTAGAAATGAGAAAGAAACTTGGGCTGGCTTAAATTTCGCAAAGACTTCTGGAACTGTTACTAGGGACAGGGAAGAAATTAACGAGCCAACAGCTGACCGGCTCATAACGATCGGTATCCCCGTCATCCGAGTCATCCCTAGTAATCCCGGTCATACAAGTCATCCCAGTCGTCAATCCAGTCGTTCCTAGTCATCCCAGGTCATCCCAGTCATCCCTAGTAATCCCAGTCAACCCCAATCACGTCAGTCGTCCCAGACGAGTCTCTACTCACAAGTTTACACCATTTCCTTTCTTTGGTCAGACGCGAAGAACTGCCTTAGTGACCATAGGCCTTATAGTGTGTGTATCTGGGCTGGGATCGGAACGCCTGCCGTCGCAAGTATTCAAATCAACATGCGCGTAAATTGTGGGCGTTTTGTGTTGTCGCAAATCGCTCATCCGGCTTGAGGAAGTTTCCAATTCAACAGTAAGACTGGTTTCAAGCAGCTTTCTCTTTAAACAAAATTAAAACGGAGTACGTATTTGTTTTGGATTTTGAAAGGTTTGTGTGAAGAGAGAGCAGCAGAGTTTTTTACCAAATTCAACTGCGTTTATATAAGCTTATGTCTACTCGTTGTTTTACATATTAGTGCCAGAAGGTATCTAAGATTTCTTTTGTTCATCAATGCTTAAATAATGTTTTCATTGACAATTCCAAAAACGTAGAGACTTTTTTTTAGCAGAATTAAATGCGAGGGAACATTTCATTTTAGAAATAGTAACCAACTGTTGAGATTTCTGTGGTGCAAAAATGCCCAAGTAAAACTTTAATTCACTATTCAAACTGCAAAATAACTTTTGGTTGCAGAATTAAATGACAAATGACAAATTCATACCTTTTTTATTTTGACCTGGTTGTCCTGTGATCAGCTCTGCACCGCGCTGCGCTAGAAGACTAAGAACTAGTCCAGTCCCAGTCTCACCCGGTTTTTATAGTATGGCGGGAGAATTGTGGTCGAACTATTGAACACACAGGGCTATCGAACTTAAATTGACACAGTTTAATGGTTTTTAGTTTGCTGCACAGTACTTTTTAAGATAATTGACCGATCGGCCAAGAGCAGGGGTCAACGATGGCGGCTTCTGCTTTGATGAGCGAAAAACTGGCGCCCATCATGGCGTCGTTAATTTCAAGGAGGAACACGGAGAGGTATGCTTAAGTACATTTTGTAAGCCTTAGTCGTAAGCGTGGGAATCAGTTCTTTTTGTTAATTCCTTCCGCTAAGGATAGCTCACGGTACAGAAACTTTTATCGGCTTTGAAACAGTTGATGACAGTGTAGCCAGTTGGTTTTTAAGGGGGAATTATCTTTAAGGTCATCAAATGGAGCGTTCGATTTATCGATCGAAGGTGAGCTTAAGCCTAAGCTTATATTTTGTCGATTTAGTGACATAAAATTTATTATGAGAGATTGTGTGCACGTGTATTAAACGTTAAAGAATTAAAATTGAAGCTTCTTCGGTTTCCTTGATTCTACTTTATCCGTGGATTTGCGCTATAGCAAATGTTTTGGAAGTGGGGTAGTGGTGTGAGGGGGAGGGGGTGGGGTGCTAGGGGCGTGAGGAAAGGCTCTGGGGATGTTTCTTATTTTTCGAAAGAAGCATTCAGATTTTCATGAATAAGTTATGAATAATTTTAAAAGTTCAGCCTACACTGTAAACTTCAACCTGTCAATAGTTCTTCAAATATGGTTGTGTGAGTAAATGACTATGAGAGCCCTATGTGGTAAACAAAATTAATTGTTCCTCGCTGATCAACCTCCCGGGGGGTGGGGGTTGGGGGGGGGGGCTGGTGAGTGGGGTACTTCCGTATAAGAGGCTAATGGGCCAGGGGGGATGTGCCGCTGGATAGGATCGCATTTTCACGACTGAATTGACTATAATGGTTTGCCTCTAATAGAGTTACTAGAATGGGGTCGCACATTTTCGGACTTTTGGGGTAAGAAAGTTCTTCATGTTTACAGTTAGCAAACGTACCATGGTGTTTGTACTGTAGGTGAAAAGTAAAGTGTTCTATATTCAATTTAAAACTGAATGTGTCAATTCATTTTAGGGTGACCTATTTAAAGGATTGATAGGGCACAGGTAGATACATTGGGTCTATAATATTATTGGCCACAAAATAGAATTTAATGGGGTAAGGGCTCTGAGAGGCCAGCTGCACATACCCAGCAAAAATTAACCTAAGTACCTCCCCTGGGTGAACCTTGTTAGAGAATGTTTCACATGCCATGTGTTAAAAAAACTTAATGACTGGCTCCATGGGTGAGACAGGCAGTGAGACATCATTTTGTTTTCTCTCAACCCAAACAGATTTCCAGGGGTGCAGCCTAGAGCCTCCTACTGGTTGATTTTAATGGCTGAAAATTAGCTCATCTCCAGCTAAGGCTGTGCTCTAAGGAAAATTCAAGGGAGCTTAGTGCTCTGAACCTGCAAAATCTAGGGTGCCCAGCATATGATTTGTATGAAAAAAACTAAGATTTTCTAGTTGCCCGAGAGCAAAAGTTTGGGTTCTTCTAAAGCACAGCTCTGCCAGCTCAAATTACATTAGAAAACATAATTTTGTGAATTTTTTTTTATATCAAATGTGAAAATTGTGAAATGAAAGACCCGCGAAATTAGGTACCAGTAAGGTATGCTGGGCTCCCTTAGAGATCGGCCATGCATTAACTACAGGCTGCGCGTAACAATTTTCTTATGATGTATGCTCTCTGTATCTGTATTTTTCAGCCTCAGCACTCAAGAACATTACATGTCAGCTAAGGAAATAAGGAAACTCCTCTGTGAATTTATTAACAGCATATTGACAGATTTGGATGCAGGTAGGGAAGCACTCTAGAGTGTCAAGTGTTTATTGATGCTTGGTTTTGTGAATGTGTTGGTTTTGCTTTTTATTTGGCAAAAAGTAATTATAGAGCACAGTTTTAGTAAAAATTATTATTGACTTACACTCATTTGATAAACTTGATTTTGCCCTCTCCCCCCCCCAAAAAAATTAGAACTTGTTTTGTGCATTATTGCTACATTTTACTCTGTTAAGTGTTGCTAATGATTGTAATTTTAAGGACTGTTATCTTTGGTGATTTTTTTCCCATCTATTCTTATGACCTACATGTAGTGTATGTGTCATCACATCCAAGTAATAATATTGTAGAGATAAGTTTCTTCTTATCAGTATAAGGGCCAATCAAGAAGAGGGGAGCAGTTGGTAGGCTTTTTTCTTATAATAGACACTAGTATTGTTCACTATGTTTCAACTCCCTATTGCTATCCTTCATGTGATGGCATGGGCCTTTGTCATGCGATGGCCATTTTGTCCTGAGAGACTAAAGTAGATTTTTTTTACCTGTCTAGCCTCCCTGCCAAGTTTTTCACTGTGAGGTCGAGGATGGTAAAACAAAATTTCAGTCTCTCGGGACAATATGGCCGCCTTGCGAAAAGGGCTTATTGGATTGCTGTGTTAGATTGTTAATAATAATTAATTAATTATTAGATTAGCAGTAAATTTGTGAATGATTAGTCCAGTGAGTAGAGCTTTTATTATAGTCATTACCTGCTATTTTCAGTATTCAAA